TTTTTTTTTTTCTTCTAAATTCTTATATTTGTCTCTATCCTCGTGCATGGCACTTCACCATTGATGGTTCATATCTATGAACGAGTTCTGTGATGACAAAATATCGCGGTCTGTTCTGAATCGCTCTGATGGATTAAAATACTGGAACTGAGAACTTGGGTAGATCGTTGATGGTGAAGTACTCTGCCGCTGCCTTATAAAACTCATCACTCAGTAAACTTGTTTTTGAAATTCGGTTCGGCTGGAAGTTTGTACTGGCACTTCTGCCAGTGGATGGTCGCTGTTGAATGCGTGAAGATTGACAAGTCGCTTCACGGATGTGTGTTCGTTTTTTGAAATAATAGTGATTTATAGCCGGGTTCCTGTCAAATTTTTTTGCTTTTGGTGTACGTTTTGTTGAATGCATATCAGTAAATCTTGACAGTTTGTTTTACGTAATTTTTCAGAACGATGAAGTAAAAAAAGAAAAAGACAAGGAGGAGGGCTGTGCAAATGGTGGCGCGGCAGCTGTTAAAGTTGAGAAACTAAGCGACGTTGGACTGAAAACTGATATGTATGCAAAACATCTTGCTGCAATGAAGGTTTGTTGGGAGGAAACTTCCTTTTCGTGTCCTACTTTTGGCATATCGCATCTTTCATCAGCACCAGCGGGGTTTTTTGAGCCCTGCAGTCCTTTCAAAAATCGTAGGCTTTTAATCCTCATAGGCGTAACAAACGTGATGTCTATCACAAGTTTTTCTTAATTCAGTGTTCAAATGATTATTTGTTGTTGCAGGGACGAGGAATACCGCCGAATAGAGATTGGACAGATCAGGAAACACTGCTGTTATTAGAAGGCCTGGAAATGTACAAGGACGATTGGAACAAGGTTTTTGTTTGAATCTGAACATGTGATCACTCATCCGTGAATTTTTTGCTGGAGCTTCAAGTCCTGATAGTATATCGGAAGCGCTTTTCGAATTGACTTGGGAAATTGTGAGATTCCTTCTCTCTCTTTTTTGTGCCAAATTTCCCTGAACAGTTTTTATCATGTCGTATTTTAGGTTGCAGATCACACTGGTTCCCGCACACAAGAGGAGTGCATTATGCGCTTTCTGCAGCTGCCTATTCAGGACCCGTATCTAGAAGAAGGAGGCGCCGAAGCAGAAATTCTAGGTAACCAGTCATAAATCCTTTCCGGAGGAGTAGTGCGCCGATGTATTTTGCTGAGTTGGAACGGACTGGGGATATGCAGCTTATTGGATAGATAGATGGGGGACCCGAACAGATGCACTTGACATCTTTTCGAGTTTCTCATGAATCGATGCTTTACATTGACATATCGGACGGTAAAAACCAGAACCGCATGCTCAAAAACGTCATATTAGAGTTGCTTTGTAAGGAAATTTTAGCTTTCTCATTTTGTAAAACTGTGGGATGCGTGTATTGCAGGTTGTACGTTTTCAGGTCCGTTAGCTTATCAACCAGTACCATTCAGCCAGGCAGGCAATCCAATAATGTCAACGGTTGCATTTCTTGCTTCTGTTGTGGATCCTCGAGTCGCTGCCACTGCCGCAAAAGCTGCCATCGGTACCGCTTTCACACGGACTTTTTTAATTTTATGTATTTAACTGGACTTTTTTTTTTGTCGTAGTTTTGTGAAAATATTGCGCTTGACCCCAATGAAAATAGATGTCGTTAGGAATACCTGAATTGTAGGTGTAGGAAGCAGGTTGCTGCAGTGGTGCAGTCATTTGTTGGTTGCAAATGTATTAAACGAGGTGTAATTTCGAATTGTTTCTGTTGTAGAAGAATTCGCAAAAATGAAGGAAGAAGTACCGCCGCTTGTTTTGGAAGCTCATGTACGTAACGTGGAAGCGACGGCTGCAAAAGATGGCAAAATTGATGGTAGCGCCGGCCTCAACGTTTCAGGAATTGCCAATGATAAAAGTATGAGTCGCTTTTTTGATCCTTCTGTGCATTTTTGCTTATAACATAAACGTATTTTGAGAAGGTGGTTATATTTATTTACGATTGCGCATAGTTCGTCACTGAATCTATAAGCAAAAAATTTGCGAGCATAATTTCTAGTCATAGCCACAGGTTCATAACTGGTCTCTCTTGTTTCTCCCGATCCTTGCTCCTTTATTCCACCGGCCAAGACCTAACACTCATAACTGAATAGAGGCATAGCGGTGAACTAAAACTTCTAAAGCTTGGTTTTGAAGCCAGCTTCCTGCGTGTCTTGATACGTGATATTAGGGCCAAAACTGCAGCAATTTTATCTCGTGCAAAAGAAAAATTCGTTAGAAGGGACATTTTATTAGTTTACCGGGCAATCGGTGAGCGTCGCATGTCAGTGTAGCACCCGCTAGGAAGTAAACGACCACACGAATAACCTCCGAATTGGTGGCTTCACCAAATAGGCGGTGGGTACTAACTGAAGTACACATCTCGGGAGGTCTGCGCTTCTGCGTGACTTGTAGTTTCACCATACGAACCTTGCTTATATAGAATCTCCGATCGATGTTGGGACACTTTTGTTATAAGATTTGCTCCTTTTCTTTTTTGAAAGTGGGCCTTTTTTTAGACAGGGATAAAAGTTCCGAACCGGAGCATGCTCAGCCGGCTGTTGAAACGAAAAGCTTTACTCCTTCAGCAGAGGAAAGTGGAGAGGCGGAAGATGAAGCAAAAAATCAGAAGGAACCGAGCAGCTGTTCTGTCACAGAAACTATTCAGACAGCTGCAGCTGCTGCACTTGCTGCTGCAGCAGTCAAAGCGAAGGTATTCGAGAGTTTTTTGTGCTTGTCACATTGGTGTTATGCTGTGTTCTGATTCGGCCACATTTTTCTAATTTAGCCTAATTCAGTCCCAGTTTCTGGGAAAAATTGATCAAAATAACAGAGCAGATTCGTTTCGATCTAACAGAGCATGAAATTTTTGGTTTTTTCAAATTAATAGATATGTAGCTATGATTTTTGAGCAGAATTTTGATGATTGTTGTAACTCGAACGCCAGAAAATTGGCTACCAGTAATTTTTCTTGGTACTGCCACTGCTCAGCGCAACAAACTTTTTCGACAAATAATTTGTAATAAGAAAACATGGCAAAAAAATGCACCCGATCAAGTTAATTTCTGTTAGTGGCTCATCTCCTCAGCATGCTGTTATCCCTGACCCGTGTTGTTAAGGTTTGCTTTATGGGGCCCAGTTATGGCTCCATGTTAAGATGTATACAGCTTAATGGGCTAAACTGCCTTACCTTGTCCAGATAAAAACTTCTGTTTATGCTTGAAATTCCAGCCATTAATATTTTTAGTTTAATTTATTATTACGAAGCGTTTATTTTTGGAAGAATTTTATTCATGTTGCTCTGGATCTTACCTTAAAATTTTAAAAAATTTTTAGCATTTGGCGGCGATCGAAGAAAGGCGAATCAAATCGTTGGTTGCGCAGCTTGTCGAAACGCAGATGAAAAAGCTGGAAATGAAATTGCGTCATTTTGATGAATTGGAAGGAATAATGGACAAAGAACGGGAAGCGGTGAGCGTTGAGATTTTTACTTCTCGGGAAATAACTAGAGCTAGTGGCTTGTTGCAGCGGAAAATTCAAACAGATAGTGTTTTGCGTGCAAGCAGTAGATAACTGATATAGAAGATAGTTTGTGTAGCAAATTTCGACTTCAGTTCATTTTGTTGAACGTAATTCATCATCAGGATCTCCCGGTTCACCGTGAGGATCTCTCGGTATATCTGAGAGTCCCTCTCACACGTCCTCCTTTCCCCCTGTGTTTGACCTTCGCTGTGCCTCTTTTCATCCTCTCTCAATTTCATTTTTAAATGAAAGTTGTGAACTGCAATACATTATCTCCCAGAGCAAGTCTTTGAAAGTTCAACAGATGTGGTTCTGATGATGCGAATTCATTTTCTTTGGGTTCCTCACATAATTGTTGCGGATTGAGAGGTTGCGTTCTCCAGGATTCCTCAGAGTTTGATAACTGGTTTGCGCATTGTTAAAATTGTTCTGTATACTTTGTAAAAAAATGACTGAAAACGGAGAATTGAGGGTACGCTGTTGCATAGCTTAGGTGCACAACATGTTCGAAGTTAGAAACCAAAGTTTCTAAAGTGTAGAATTGTTGCAAAATATGGGCCGCATTTTACCCTCCTTTTTTGGTCACGAAATCTGGTAGTTTTTGAGTATGAAAAGACAGAAATGTTCTTTAGCACAGCTTTACAGGAGGCCACATGCTGTTCCATTAGCTCTTTTATTCTATCTTTTCAGCTGGAGTATCAGCGTCAGCAGCTGATTCTGGAACGGCAGTCATTTCACATGGATCAGCTCAGATACCTCGAACAACGAACGAAACACGAAGCACAGTCAAAACTGATTGCATGCGGTAGGCATTTTTTTCCAACTTCAGCTTAATTTTGATTAAAAAAGCATTAACATGAGAATGAGCGACGTACTGGCAATAAACGAGTTTGCTGGTAGAAGGTACGGCCCAACAAATTTAGTACACTTTTCATGGCTTTAGTTGCAATCACACGTTTTCAGCGAGTGACATGTACCACAACGGGAAACAAGTTTAGCCAAGCAAGACATGTTTTTATGCGTTTTTTGCAGCTATGCAATGCAGAAAACGCATATTGACGAGAGGTTGTCTGAGTGTTCTCTGTACCGATTTTTCATCTCGAAACCGGCAAAAGCTACGAGGCTGAAACTGTGGGGGTATAATCTACATGCACGTACGGGCC